AATACTTTCCGTCCGAGATCTCCCGCCCCCCTGCATTCTCGTCCCCTCCCCTGGCGGCCGCCGCGCCCCTCTCTCGCCACTGAGCGGCTTCCAACTCCTCACCATCCCCCTCAACTCTCCCTTCCCCACCCTCCTTCCCTCGCCGCGGCTCGCCTTTCGGACCGAAGGACGACTCTATCCCGGAGACAGCCCCCCCAAAGTGGCCCAGACGCCCCAGCCGAGCTCCAGAGGCCCTTGATGTACACCTCGGTACACAAGGTTAGCTTCGGGCACCGGTGTTCGGGGACACTTGTCAGAACTGTGACTGACAAGTGTTTTCCAATATGGCTGGTCTCCTGGATCGCTCAGAAGTAACTTGTGCAGGGAGGAGACCCCCCCTCTCCCGCCCCCAGCCCCGGCTTTTCGCTGCTTTTTTAAAAAAGACTGTTGGTTTGTTTTGTGTCATCACTGCTCCCCAAATCCCTTATGTGTGTCAGTGGTGTCGTCTCTGAGGGGATTTGAAGGTTGGTCATCAAATCTGGGCAAAAGTTTAAGACACAGAAAGACCATTGTGGAAAGGAACGGTGTGAGCTGATGTCCTTTGCAGTAACTTTCCCGAGTCGGAAAGAATTGGAGTCACAAGATGCAGCCACGAAGGTTTGAGACAATTAGGATGTGGCTTTTAAAACGGTGCACTATAGAGCGATCCTTCGATGTGGGAGTCACGTCCCCCTCGTCACGGATGGGGGAGGTGTGTGGAGGAATTCGCTCTTTTCTACCTTTTTTTTTTTTTTTTAGATAGAGCATTGAAGAAATGTAGTACGTAGAATGCTTCGATCGCTGCTTTAAGTTTTGATTGCCTTGTAGAATTTCATAATCGAAGTTGTATATTTTGAATGTATCTTTAAGGAAGTACCATGTTCCTTATGTTCCTAAACTACCTTAGCATTTACCTTTGGCCATCTGCTAGTGTTTTGATGAGGAAGTTGTAAGCCAGTAGTGATTTCTCTCCTTGGGTTGTGTTTTTTGGGGGTGGTTGTCTGGCTAATAACATTAACCCGGTTGCCGTTACTTGAGAATCCAATTTTTCCCACCTACCTTAGCCTCTGAATACTGGGTTCACACCGACCAGCGTGCCCAGACTTTGCTTTGATTTTAAGTTTAGGCATTCTGACGTCTTCAGGAATTCTGGCTGCTAACTAACAAAGATGGACATGTTACAGTTAATGATACCAGAATATTCTGAAAAACTTCCAAGAATTCTTTTTGATACTTTGAAACCTAGACAAGTAAATATTGTTGGTCCCCCCCAGCATGCTTTACAACAGGGTTTGACTCTGTAGCCCAGGCTAGTCTGCAATTCACAGAAATCCTCAGCCTCCCAAGGGCATGAGTTGCCTTAGATATAGCTCTTGAAATGGATCTTGAATGGGTGTAAAACAGACTGCTCCTTAGAAAAATGTAGAAAAATCTTGCTGAACTGGGGGGATATAGTTGGAGATAGTATCTTTAAAAACAAAAAGTTAAAAGTTCATGTGGGGCAGCCTATTTTGGGGGTTGCTCTCTGCTACAGGAAGCTGCTATTCAGTGAAGTTGTCTGCCCTTGAGAAACACTCAGGGCAGTGTATGTCTCGTTGATCTACAAGCTCTTCTGTTTGCTTAGTGCACACATGTGCACATTCATGTTTGCCATGCCCCCATTTCATCCGCACAGTTATGATGTGTGAGAGGGGTTATGTTAACTTCCATTTAGTAGGGAAGCAAATTGAGTGTCTCACTGAAAACTGTGGAGATGCAGCTGCATGTGAAACAAGGTTCGAAACTCCTGTTTCTCCCTCACAAGAGTTGGAATAATTGACTTAATTTTTAAAGAAGGCTTTATTTTGGTTTATAGTTCTGGGGGGGGTGGTACAACCCACCATGGCAGTATGCAGGGTCTCTGTGTATGTAGCACTGGCTGTTTGCAGCTCTCTATGTAGATCAGGCAGGCCTCACACTGAGAGACCCTCTCCTGCCTCTTTCCACTGGACAACACTTGGCTGAGAGAAAGCCTGGATTGGGTCTCACCTGCAGCTAGACCTTTGAGATGTTGTAGGGAGCTGTCCACTCCATGGTTTGTGGGAGCGGCAAAGTGTGCCTGGAGGGGCTCACAGCTCTGGCCTGACTGAACAAGTGCTGTGTGTCTTACAAGGCTCTCTGCCCCCTCCTCCATTCCTTCCTTTCAGGAGACAGTGGATTTCTGGTTAAGAAAGGAGTTCAGTAATTTGGTATTGAATGTCCAATTTTGATAAAACTCACTGAAGAGTAACCTTGATATCAAAAGTCCAGATAAGGTTAAAGCAATAATTAAGCATGCTTCCCTCTTTAATTTTTTAAACCATTTATGTATTGGTGTGTGTGCATGCATGTATACCATGGTGCACCTGTGGGAATCAAACTCAGGTCACCTGCTTTTGCAGCAGCAAATGCATTTATGTTCTGAGCCACCTCATTGGCCCAGTTTTACTTTCATAATGAATGCTTTAAGCATTGGCATCTGAAAAAATGCTACTGTGATCATTTCAGGGCGGTGGTTTTATCACCTGGGAAATTGGATTGCAGCTTTGATGGGTTTGAAATGCCTCCTGTTGGCTTTGAGTTTGTTTCAGAGTTGGTTCAAGCTTGGAAAAGGTCCAGTTTTTTTGGCAGAGCCTGACTCAGGTTTAGACTGGCCTGGTGCTTCACCCTTAGTCTCCTGAATGTGGGGATTACAGGTGAGCTGTCCTGTCGCCTAGCATCCAAACTTCTGGATTTCCCCTTTGGAGTGCACCAATCTGTGGATTCTTAGTTGATTTCATGGAAGGGAGTTGTAAATTTTGTGATGGAAACATATAATAGCTTAAAAGTCCTTTTAAAAGAGTGAGACATTTCTGTGCCAGCAACCCCTACCACACCTAGCTCATCAAACGTGATTAATCAAAAGTGAAAAATGTTAGATTTTGTGCTTTGCCTGTCACGCTTGTTATGGTTGAAGTTGCAGTGGAGAATTTGATAGTAGTGCGGTGGACCATAAATGCCATTTCAGCATGGACCACTTATGCAGTTTGGCAGGAGTTTAGCTCAGGAGTTAGCTCAGCCTCAACACTTCCATAGGGCAATTTGTATGACACCAGTGTGGACTGGATGGTTTTAACTAGATTGGTCTGGGAAAGACATAAGGGGAAGCCACAGAACTCTTTGAGCCAGATAGTTTGTGTATGGTGTATTGTCTGCGATTATGTCTGTACCCTGTGTGTGCTCGGTGCCATTGGAAGCCCTGGGATTGGAGTTAATAGATGATTCTGACCTACCATGTGGTTTTCGGAATTCAGCCCAGATCCTAGGATCCTAGGAGTAGTTAGTGATCTGCAGCTTCTCTTAGACTCTTCTGTTTCTATTTTAGTCTCTGATACATTTAAATTGCTTGTTCACTTATGAGTGAAAGAACTCTACTGTTCTCTTGGGATGTTCGGTGCACCCCTGTAATCTCAGGCAGGAAGATCATCCGGCAGGTATGAGGCTGACTTAGCCTATGAGTCCCAGGCCAGACAAGACTTATATCCAGATCCTGTCTCACTCCAGCCCTGTCCCCCAAACCACAACCAAATGCAAACATCATAACACAGTTGCTGCTTTTCTGGCAACTTTGGGGTGGCCTGGAACCCATGTTGAGTCACCTGCCTTAGCCTCTCTTGTGCTGGAATAACAGACATAAGCCACCACTTCTTAAATTTTTTTTCCACTACATTTATTTGTTTGTTTAGTGTGTGTGTGCGCGCGCGCGCGCGCGTGTGTTCTGGTATTGGAATCAGAGGACAGCTTATGGGAGTTGGGTTTTTTCTTCCTTCATGTTGGTACTTGGAATTGAACTTATTGTGAGGATCTCCTGAAGTTAAAGCCAGTTGTAAAACACCATGTCAGTGATGGGAATCGAACCTGGATGTCCTCACTGTTGAGCCATCGCCCCAGTCCCCTGCCTACCCTCCTTTTTTTTTTTAAATATTTTTAAAGATTTTATTTATGTATTTATTATGTATACAACATTCTGCTTCCATGTATATCTGCACACCAGAAGAGGGCACCAGATCGCATTCCGGATGGTTGTGAGCCACCATGTGGTTGCTGGGAATTGAACTCAGGTCCTCTGAGCCATCTCTCCAGCCCCTTATTTTATTTTTTTAAAGGTAAGGCCTCATCTAGTCCAAGCTCACTTGGAACTCACTTTGTAGATCAGGCTGGCCTCAAACAAATTGGGTGCTAGGATGGGATTATAGGCATGGTATCCTACACCTGGTGGCAGGGTTTAAAAAGTGAGTGTTTTAAACTTTTTTTTGTGCGTTTATTTGTGTGGGGAGAGCACATGAGAACTTGTAGGAGTCAGTTCTCTAACTTTCATGTGGGTTTGGGGGATTTAACTCAGGCTTTGGCAACAAAGGCCTTTACCCACTGAGTCATCTCACAGGCCTGGCAGGATCCCACTCCCCCACCCCCCACTTTTCAAGATAGGATTTGTCTAGCCCTGGAACTAGCTTGGCCTCAAACTCGCAAGATCCACCTCAGATTTTGGGTGTTTTGAGACAGGGTTTCTCCGTGGTTTTGGAGGTTGTCCTAGAACTAGGTCTTGTAGACCAGGGTGGTCTCCAACTCACAGAGAGCCTCCTGAGTGCTGGGATTAAAGGCGTGCGCCGCCCTGCCAGTGCTGCCGCCACCATCACCACCACCACCACCACCACCACCACCACCCCCTGGCTAACATTTTTTTTAAATGTCTATTTTGAATTAATTTTTTTCCTGGAAGTTATAAAAATATTTTGTTTTTGTTGTTGTGTGTTTGTATCTGTGTTGGGTCTGTGCGTGCAGGTGCCTGAGAGGCCAGGGACATCAGATCCCTTGGAGTTGATTGTGAAGCAACAGTGTAAAAGCTCACCTTTTATTGTATGATTTTATTAAAGTTAGTTGCTACCACTGTGGGTCTGGTCATGAGGTGATGGCTTCTGTCCCCATCTAGACGGTAACTGTGGCTGGAGTAGTGCTGGAGGGCTGTGCGCTGGAGACAGACTCGGTGTGAGTGTGGAGTGAGAGTGGCATAGAAGAAAGCGACTTGCTTGTTCTCCTCAGACTGCCTTTCGTCATTGTTGCATAAAGTCCCTTTTGACCAATTAGTGAAGGCTGCTGGGTCTCGGGGAGAAAAACCCTTTGTCTTTCTCTAGAGAAGTCATTGTGGGGATAGACAGTAATTTTTTTTTAAATTTTGATTAGAA